AAAAAAAAAAAAAAAAATCATTTTTAACCAATCACTTTTTTTTTTTAAATCAATTATAACTTAACCATACTATCATCAATATCTTCAATATATATAATTAAATATTATCAATAATTCATTATTTACTCATTAAATCAATTTTAATTCAATATTCATCTACTCACATTATTTGAGCAAACCACCACTTCGAATCATATCTCTCCTGCTTATCAACTATAATTATTTTACTTTAAATATTATTTAAATATAAATTAAAAATCCCACTGATTAACGACTAACCATATCATTTTTACAAATATAATCATATCAAACCCAAAAAATTCTAACAAAAAAACAATAATAATAATTTATATCCAAGCATCCTCTAAAATGTTGATTAAGAAGTGACTTTGACTAGCTAGCTAGTAAAATATGCTTGTCCATAGTGCTTATTTATACTCCTAATAATACAATTTAACTAATTTAGTGACTTGCCAAACTAGTAAAATACTCTTCATATTCTCCTATTATAATAAGGCAAGTAAATATTCTACAGAATAAAATATGACTCATCTATTTTTTCCCCTTTCATGAATTCGGTCACCACAGCCTCAAGTGCAACTTTTTCAAAGTCAAGTGCACTTAGCTTAATACACTATATATGAGAATAAAACAAGTACCGTTATCATAGCCACTATGTAACTAGCTGATAAACTAGCTGGTAGCTGATAAACTAGTTTATAGCTTATCAGTAATTTTCGAGCTTATAACTTATGACTTATAGCTGAAAAGTTAGCTTATATGATAAAAGTGTTTGATAAAATTAGCTGATAAGTTAGCTGGAATAAAAAATTCAACTAGCTTATTTGAAAAACTACCTAAATTATAAGCTTATCAAATAAGCTCGAGTTTTTTAAAAAAACTCGTCCTACCAAACGAGTCTTATTTAAATACAGGGTTTTTATAAGCTAACCAAATAAATTATAAGCTAGCTTATTTGTCTTTCAAACATAGCTAGACGTGAGTTGGCGTTAGAACTGGAATTTATTTTTTTTGTTTTTCTTGCTATTTAATTATGAATTATTAATTGAAAAAAAAAAACAAAAATTGGGTGTTAATTAATTTCCATATGTACAGGATGGAGAGAGTGAACATAAGTACAAGCCCTGGAATATTGAAGGTGTGTGGAGTTGTACTCTGCATGGGGGGCGTGGCGACAATTGCCTTTTTTAGGGGCCCTTTTTTGAAAATATTGGTGCACCATCACTTAGTACACAATCACCTCACACTTGAGAGCCGTACAATCCCTTCACCCAATGCTTGGATAATGGGCGTCTTTCTCATGCTCCTTGCTAACTTATTTTGGGCCTTTTGGCTAGTTTTGCAGGTACAAAAACTCATATATCACATCTTGTTACTTTACTTTATTATTATCGGGCCGGGCCGGGCCAATCCGACCCATTCACTGTCGGTCCGAGTTTGGAATCGGGCTCGTGTACTACTCGGTGTTGGTTCTAGTTTCAATTCTATATACATATGTACAATTTTTTTTTACTCGGTGGCTCCAAGTCCAGTTTGGAAGCGACCTGATCTATATACATATGTACAATATTTTTTTACTCGGTGGCTCCAAGTCCAGTCTGGAAGCGACCTGATCTACATATAGCGCCTATTTTTTTTTAATTTAAAAAAAATTAAATTTGAATTTTGGAGCCGATTTTTCCAAAATCGAAACCGGCCTAACAATCGGGTTGATTCCGATTCAAGGGTTTAGAAGTCAATGCCCTATCGAGTCAAACCCGATAGGTCAAGGGCCTGACCCGATTCGAGGGTTTTAGTTGCTTTAAATTGCTTTATTTAGATTTTTTATTACATCATTATTTTAATTTATATAATTTTTTTATTTTTTTCATATATATAATTTATGGTAACTATATACAGGGGCGAGTGCTAAAACACTACCCTTCAAAGCTGTTGTTGACAACTTTGCAGTGCTTTTTAAGCACAATTCAGTCATTCATAGTTGCGGTTGCTTTTGCAAGAGACCCCAATGAATGGCAACTCGGATGGAACATTAGACTTCTATCAGTTGCCTATTGTGTAAGTTACCTTTTTTTTTTTTT